ATCGACCCCTACCTCACATCACATGCAAACAAAACACACCTTAAAATGGACCAAAAGTATATAACTCTTAGAAGAAGACAGTAATTTTTCATGACCTTGATTTGGCAATGGTTTCATAGATATGTCACCAAAAGCACAAATAACCAAAGAAAAAATAAATTGGACTTCATCAAAATTAAAAACTTTTTGGGCAGAGGGTGTAGTTCAGGGGTAGAGTGCATGCCTAGCATGCATGAGGTCTTGGGGTCAATCCCCAGTACCTCCATAAAAAAAAATATTAAATAAATAAACCTGATTACCTCACCACACACACACACACACAACACACACACACACACACACACAAAGATAAAATTTAAAAAAAAAAGAACTCTGACAAGAAAAAAAAATTAAAAACTTTTGTGCATCAAATGACACCACCAAGAAAGTAAAAAAGACAATACATGGAGTGGGAGAAAATATTCGAAAAGTATGTATCTTTGACAAAGGGCTTTACCTAGAATATATAAAGAACTCTTATAACTCAAAAAATTAAAGGTGAATAATCCAATTTTTAAAAATTGGATTGGAAACTTAAAAATTAAATAATCCAATTTAAACTCGGGCAAAGGATCTGAGTAGGTATTTTTCTAGAAAGAAATCCAAATGGCCAACAAGCACATGAAAAGATATTCAAAATCATTAGCCATCAGGGAAATGCAAGTCAAAACCGTAATGAACTACCACTTCACACCCACTCGATGGCTAAAATAAAATAAAAACCAAAACCAAACAAACCAAATAGGAAAACACCAAGTACTATTGAGGTTTAGAATTAGAACTCCCATGCACTGCTGGTGGAATGTGAAATGGTACAGACACTCTGGAAAACAGCCTGGTGGCTCCTCAAGGATTAAATGTAGAATTACCAAATGATCCAGCAAATCTACTCCTAGATATTATCCAAGAGAAATGAAAACATATGTCCACACAAGAACTTGACACAAATATTTATAGCAGCATTGTTCCTAACAGCAAAAAAAAAAAAGGAAATAACCCAAATGTCCATCAATTGATGAATATATAAAGAAAATGTTGCATATCCATATAATGGAATAATATTCAACCATAAAAAAGAATTAAGTGCTACAACATGGATGAACCTTAAAAATATATGCTAAGTGAATGGTTATAGCCAGTGCTGAAGAGGGTACTTTGAAACACACAACTGCAGCATGTAAACTGGTAAAACAAAAAATCTTTCAGAAAACAGTGTGGTGACATATCAACAACCTAAAAACATGTTCATTTCTACAAATTTCATTTTTGAGACTTTATTCTAAAGAAATACTCTTGTGTATAGAAAATACCTGAAGCACAAAGGGTTATTTTTAATAATAATAATAATAATAAATGGAAAAAAGCTAAATGGCCAGCATTAATAGAATGACTAAATAAATTGTAAGGAGCCATTGTGATGGAATGTTATGCACCCATCAAAATGAAACCTATTTTTGTATCCACAGCAAAAAAGTTCCTGGCCTGAAAAACAACATATTCACATGTTGGTTGAAACAAAAAGGGAAAAAAAGACGCCCATAAAGAATTTTTTTTAAGGAAAATCATATTTTAGTGGTTCTCAAAGTATAGTCCTGAGAACAGCAGTATTTGTATCACTGGGAGATATGATAGAAATATATGTTCCTGGCCCACATCAGAGCTCCTGGGTATGGACCCAGCAATCTGTATGTTCCCCCAGTTTTGAGAAATAGTTGACATACATCACTATGTAAGTTTAAGGTATATAGCAGATGGTTTGATTTATTGTGAAATGATTATCACAGTAGTTCAGCTAATAGATACAATAAAAAGAAAAATAGGAAAAAAATTTTCTCCTTGTGATGAGAACTCTTAGGACCTAGTCTCTTAACAGTTCTTCTATACATTGTGCAGCAGTGTCAGCTACAGTCATTGTGTTGTACATTACATGCCTGGCACACACTTGTAACTGGAAGTTTGCACTTTTTGATCACCTTCCTCCAATTTCACTTCCCCCTACTCTCTGCCTCTGATAACCCCAAGTCTGGTCTCTTTTTCTGAGTTTTTAAGAAAATTCTACATATAGGTGAAATCATACAGTATTTGTCTTTCTCTGTCTGGCTTATTTCACTTAGCGTAATGCCTTCAAGATCCATCCATGTGGTTGTAAATGGTAGGATTTCCTTGTTTTTAGTGGCTGAATTATATTCCATTGTATATATATGCCACAACTTCTTTAGCCATTCATCCATCAATGGACACTGGGGTTATTTCCATGTCTTTGCTATTGTAAACAGCCAAAGGGGGTTGCAGATATTTTTTCAAGTTAGTATTTCATTTCCTTTGGATATAGTCCCTGAGTGGAATTACTGCATCTTGTGGTAATTCTACTGTTAATATTTTTAGATTTTTCATACTTTTTTCCATAGTGGCTGTGCCAATTTACAATCTCACTAGTGCTCAAGGGTTCGCCAGCATTTGTTATTACTGGTCTTTTTGATGATGGCCATTCTATGAGGCTAAGGTGATCTCATTCTGGTTTTGATTTGCATTTCCCTAATGATTAGTGACGTGAAGTATCTTTTCAAGTACCTGTTGACCTTTTATATATCTTATTTGGAGAAATATCTCTCCAAGCCTTTTGCCCATTTTTAAATTGGATTTCCTGCTTTTTTTGCGATTGAGTTGTATGATTTCTTTATATATTTTGGATATTAACCCAGCAATCTGTACTTTAACATGCCCTCTGGTGCACATGCCAATAGCTATGTATTTATTTTAACATGTAGTAGAAAAATACATGTTAACTAGCTTTCCAAACTCATGATTTCAATAGTAACATTATTTACCTTTAAAATAACTGAGTATTATTAAAAGTTAGTTACTTGAGAGAGAAATATTAATAAGAGTACCGTTATGCACAGATATAGCAAATATGGTAGAGATGGTAACAGTGAATTACGGGAAACACTGCTAAGCCAACCTCAGTTACTTTAAAATAGATAATGTTTTATGTGTTTTACTGTATATAAATTGTACTTTTAAAAAAGGACTGTGGGAGGAAGGGTCTAGCTCAGTGGTAGAGTGTGTGCTTAGCATGAGGGGGTCCTGGGTTCAATTCCCAGTATCTCCGTTTAAAAAAAAACCTAATCCCTTCTCTCCCTAAAAAACAAAACAATTAAAAAAAAAAAGACCGTAAAAGAAGAGTGGACTCTAGTTTTAAATGTGAATGCTGAAGCATTTAGAGGGAGGTATATTGCACTCAGCCTCTTATTTTGAAATCATCACAAAAACAAATTGAACTAATTAAAGGATAGATTTGCGTGGAAGGTTGGATACATGACAAGGAAACTATAGCAAAACATTCACTGTAGAACCCAGGTGGTGTGGTACACCACTACACACTGGGCAAGCTCCTTTGACTTCTCTGTAGGTTTGGAAACTTACATGTTGGGGAAAAATGTATACAGATTGTCCCACACAGTGAGTGAATTAATTAATAAACAAAACCTCAAAGACTAGACAGAATTAGCTGAAATGCTTTCTTCACACTATCCTGGACACATTCCAAAGTGGGCATATTGCTTTTATAATAGAAAAAGTTTTTACAGAGAAAAAAGACACAAGAGTCCGTTGATAAAATATGCATTTATTCCAAGAGCATAATGCCAAGAGGAAACTCCTAGGGACCATCTTGGGAGTGGGGGAAAACTGTTGCACCCCCATCAAAGGGGCCTCAGCACTTTTCTATATCCCAACCATGCAGGGATGTCTAGGGGCAGAACTCCTGGATGGGTTCTGGGCTGTGTGTCTGGGGTCAGTTCGACCTGCCCGCCTGTTAGTGTTGGCCCAGGTCAGTGTGTCCTTTGTCCTGTCCCAAGGAGCCAGAGTATCAGGAGAGGTGGCAGAGGAAGTCGTGCAGAGGCAGGGCTAAAAGCCCTGACAGCGAGATCCCCAAGGTGTCGGAAATACAGGCGGTTGCCATGGCAAATTCCCGGTGCTCATCACTGGTCTGGGGAGGGTGGAGCAAGGGTGAGGCTTCAGCCCTAGACACCCATGCCTCGGACTGAAGCAGAGAGGCCACCCACCCCCAACCCTTGCCTGGCCAGTGCTGACCTCCAGGGCAATGTTGTGGAAGGTGTTCACGTAGGCTGCGCCCCCCAGGAGCCCTTCATACAGAATAATCAGGAAGACGAGGTAGATGCTCGGCAGGAAGTTCAGCCACACGTCTGCCAGCAGGAAGGCCAGGTTGACACACTGTGGGTGCAGGCGGAGGGGAGGACTGAGCTTGGGACCAGAGGAAGGGAGGTGCCATACCGTCCAGTGGTCCCGGTTCTGGGGGATGCTGATAAGGGTGAGGATGACAGGCCTGGATCAAACCCCAACACTCAGCTGGCCCACCAGACCCTGGGATCTGGGTAGGCCTTCTCCCCACCATGCCCTAGCATCCTAGACCTCGGAGGTCTTCTCCCTCTCCTCCCTTTGCTCATGTCACTCCCACTGCCTGGAATGCTCTCCACCTTCCCTCACTTGGGCTCTCCTAGCACCACCATTCACAGCTCAGCTTGGATCAGGGTCACTCTCCCTCCTGTGATCTCTTTCCTTCTCCCAAGGGGCCCCTTGATTAGAGAGGTTCCCCCCTATTTTACCACACTGAAGCTATGGTGAGACCAGAGGTTCTCAACTGGGCGTGATTTTGCTGCCTAAGGGACACGTGGCAACATCTGGAGATGTTCCTGGTTGTTACAATGGGGGAGGGAGGGTACTACCAGCATCTAGCAGGCAGAGGCCAGGGATGCTTCTCAGCGTCCCACAGTGCCCAGGACAGCACCACAACAAAGAATGCCAGTTAACGCCGAGGTTGAGAAACCATGGTTTACATGTTCCCACGCCTTTAAGGAAGCCTCACTGACCCCACCCAAGGGTGTAGGTCCTTCCTCTGTGCCCCAATTCCTTCAGGGGACCCAATGTCCCGGTCCTGAGCACACAAAGTTGCCCCGCAGCATGCAGGTCACCACAGCGGTCCATGTGTTTAATGTACAGACAGAGTACCTGTGGATCTGTTACCTACATAGGCCCCGCCCTCAGCGGTTCTAATTCATTAAGTCTGAGGTGGGCTCAGAGATCTGCACTGAAAAGGACACACCCTGGTAATACTAATGAGACCCTAGAAACACTGCAGATGCTTCCAGCATTGGGACAAACAATTTCTACAACGGAATTAAATGATTATAAGACGCTAATTCTATGAAGCAGCTTTGGTTAAAATCACAGTTAAAATCACAAGCCACACATTTCAGGGTAGCTCCATCATCTAACACTTCATCTAATGAAGAACCCTGAGTGAAGCATTGTTGACAGCAATTTGGCACTTCGGAGGCTGGCAGTACTGCTTAAATAAGGAAGAAAGATAGAGGGTATCTGTATGCTGTTGACATAACATTAAAGTATAATCTATACTAATTCTGTATTTTGTTATCATAGAATTGAGTTAAGATTACTTAAAAGGGCAAAGGACTTTCCCATAAGAGTCGAAGGTTTATTTTAATAGTTACCTTCAGAAGGCTGTGAACATGTGACCTTGAAACATGAAGGCTGGCTATGTAAAACTCTTTTGTTAGGTTGTTGTAAGGAATGGTGTTTGTTCACATAAAGCTTAATCACTCACGTGACTTTTGCCATGAATTTGCTCACCAGTCTTGAGATAAATAACCTGTCGACTACAACATCACTGATTCTATTGCACTTAACCATCCAGAATATAAGAACTGGACGTTTTCTTATTGTTAGAAACATTATTTGAAAGCTTATCTCTCTGCATATGGCTTGGACAAAAAAATCATTAATATGTGCTTCTAACTGATTAAAACACAATATAAAATCCTGTTCTTTCACTTTTCTTCTTGTCTCTATTTCTTACAACCAGGCCCAATTTATAGATGAGGAAACTGAGGCTCAGATTAGTTCATGGACCTGCCCTAAATCCCACAGCTACTGAGTACAGAAGCTGGGATTTGCACCCAGGTTTGCCTGGCTCCTGAGGTCACATATTTCACACAGATCCCTGCTGGCCTCCATTCTCCATGCTTAGAACATGACAGTTTGCAATAAATACTCCTTGCTGAAGGAGGGAAGCAACCCAACTGGGAGCCAAGGTGGACATGGAATGAGGGCCAGGGGCTCAGTACCTGCAGCAAGGCCAGGGCCCACGTGTGGTGGATGCGACAGCAACGGAGAGAGGAGCGGGAGGCAAAGACACCGGCCTGGTACAGCATCTGGTACCTTAGATGGGGCAGGGAGTAGAAGGAAGCCCCTCCGGTGCCTACTCAACAGGGCAGCCCCTCCCAACCCCGGTCCTTATCCTTAAGGGACCCTCCCAGCCCACTGCCGGTCCTCCCACCCATCCTCACTCTTCTCACCAGCGGTACTGCTGAGCATGACTCAGGAATGTGTTCCGGAAGAAAAGGAGTTCAAACTGCAGCAAAGACCAGACAAGGGAGATGCACGGGGATGTGTGGGTCCCCACCTCCATCACTATTTCCACACCCTTCCCGGCAGCCCTCACTCACAAGTCCCTGATTGATGAAGTACTCAGCAAAGTAAACCAGCACCAAGGGGACAATGTACCACAGCAGGCCCTGGAAGAGTCAGAAGACATAAGCGGAAGGCTCGGAGACCAATACTGGCCACAGGGGACACGCCACAGCCACCATCCGTACCTTGAACACAGTCCACCTTTCCTGAAGGGAGAGGTGTGAGCTGGAGCCTGCAGGGGACCAGGGAGAGAAGGGCAGGTGAGGGTGGCTCACTGACTCAGAAAAGGGGTGCTGCTGTGCAAGAATCAACCAGCCCACACATCAGTGTGGGTGCACATATGCCACTGGGTTTTAATGGTTAAACTGCCTCTGGGGTGGGTATGGCTCAGTGGTAGAGCACTATGCACAAGGTCCTAGGTTCAATCCCCAGTACCTCCATCATTATAAATGAATCTAAAAAAACCCACACAAAATTTTTCTAACGGTTAAATTGGTAAACCTCATGGTATTTTTGCTTTATCATGATTAAAAAAAAATTAACCAGATGAGAATTCTTCATGGCTCTTGTACAGTTTGATGGCAGTACATACCCACCCCAGCCACACTGACCCCTTCTTTCTGTTTCTTGAACATCCAAGCTCATTCCCACCACTTAGCACTTAGCACCTCTGCCTGGAACCTGTTCACCCCAATGTCCACGGGCTGACTCTTTGTCATTCATATTTCAACCCAATGACACTGCTTCAAAAAGGCTTTTACTGACCACCTTCTCTAAGTGGAACCCCTCTTCTTCCCCCATTTGTCATAGTGCATATCAACATGTGAAAACAATGTTTCTGATACACTTATTTGTTTACAAATGTGCCTCATTTCCTTATCTGAGTCACCCCCACTCAGCATCCCAGTGATTAGAATACTGAGCACAAAACATAAGTACTCAATGAGTATTTTTGGAATTGATGAATGTGATTGGCTCTTACTGTAACCAGCACACCCATCCACTTCCCCTCCCGACTGTCCACTGTAGAGAGGAAGACTGAAACCCAGAAAGAGAGAAAGTGACCACTTTCAGGGGCTCCTGTGTCCCTACCTGGCTTTGACTCTGCGGCCGCGCTGTTTATCAGGGGCTGCCGGGCTGCCGTATCTGCCTCTTCTTCCCCTCCGGGGTCCTGGAGCCCAGGGGATGTGAGTAATAAGAAATAGCTAGGAGGGAGCAGAATGAAGATAAGACTGAAGGGCTTCTGTTAGGCTGGAAAGGTCCCTCCCTCCCAGGGCAGCTCCCCCTCATCTGTACTCTCCTCCAAGACACCCCATCCTGGGCTGGAGAGCTCCAACTGGGAAAAAAATGCCTCTTCCTCTGGAGCTGAAATTTATCTCCTTGTCGTTTCTAACCCCTGGGACCTCCTTCTGAGTCCTGGCTCATGCCAAGCGAGTCAGCCCTGTTTTCTTATCATTATTATTCTAATAATCACTTTTGCTACCATCTATTATGTGTTCATTCTGTGTGAGGCCAGAACTTCCCAAGTTCAGTCACTTATGTTTTGCCTTCATGGTATTTGCCATATCCACATTCTTCTTAAACATAATATTTTTTACTTAATATTTTCCTTTCAATTGATTCACTTTTTCTACATGGCCTTGTCCTAAGCAGTAATCTGTGAAATCACGGATTTGAATGATTAATTAAAATTTTTCCCTAATATACATGAAAATACACACAAAACTAACAAAGTCCACCCTCGTCCCCCTTAAATCACCTTGGGAATCACACTGTATTGAATGCTTCACACATCACACATATGCTGCCACATAGGGAAGCAAGGCGAGCTACCACCATTTGAATATGGGAAAACAGGATCAGAGAGGTAAAGCAACTTGTCCCATATGACACAGCAAATAAGTAGCAGCTCCAGAACTCAAACCCAGGCCTGTAAGAGTCCAGAACCCACAACCCCTCCTAACATGGCTATAGTTATCCAAAGACTGGGATCACGATTAAGTTCTCTCTCCTTGGATCCCTCTTCCTCCCAGCCCAGGGCCACTTACCTGGCCAGCAGCAGGGCGGGGATACCCAGCATGGACAACAGGGTGTGCTGGGGGGAGAGGCCAGCCTGAGTGAGGCCCAGGTAGGACAATGCCCCCAGGAGCCCTGCTCCCCCAGTACCTGAGGACCACCAGGAGATCACAGCCCTGAGAAGGAGAACATGGGTGCACTAAGATGGACCAAAGCCAGCAGTGGGACCCCCCTCCCCTCACTCCCTGTTGTGCCTACTAACCTGGGGTAGAAGGCGGTGAGTGAGAGGAAGGTGACCTCTCCCAGACCTGAAGAGATGCTAGCCAGGACCACACCTGGAGGACAACAAGCACAGCAGTGGCCATCCCTAGCCTTTCCCCAACAGTCCCGATCCCCTAAGGTAGCTGGCCACACGGCCTCCTCTTCCTCCACACAGATGGGCTAAAAACAGATCCCTTGGACAGGCTGTGCTCCAGAACTAAAGTAGAAACAACCCCCTCCTCTGAATGAACTCTTGTAGGGAATGGTACCCTCATCCACCCAGTTATCAAACCAGGAGCAAGAATTCATCCTTGATGCCTTGGCCTCCATCACAGAGTCTTGGTGACTTTGCTCATCTCAGTCTCCATCTAATCCATCCATTTCCTCCCATCTCCCCCTTCCACTTACCGCTCAAAACTGACCTCATCTCCTGTCTCCCATTGTGACTGTCCTAGCAGGCTTCTGAGGGTTACAAAATAACCCTTCTCCTCTGGGAAGTTGGGGAGACTACCCCCACAAATGCTCTGGTGCGGTTCCTCTGGCCCCCTCAACTGACACGAAACCTAATACTCACCACACAGGCTGGTCCCCACTGAGTGAGAAAAGGCAACCAGGATGAAGCTTCCAGCAGCACAAATTCCACTGGTGAGAACCCGGGGGCTGAAGGGAGTTATTGCCAGGGAAGGAGGGGAAGGTCAGCTTCCATTCTCAGCCCCCCAGTCCTCCAGCCACCCTCCTTTGTCCTCTCAGCCTCCCTACTCCCATATCTCACTCACAATTCCTCCCACCCCTGACCCAGACCTGTAGGGCAGCAGATGAAGGCCAAGAGGAGCCAGCAATTTGATGATGAGGGTGGGAAGGATGTCCGCCAGGAGCACCGCCTGGAAGTAGAGAACAGAGTGAGACCCCAGACTGTCCCAGGGCCAACCCTCCCAACCAAGTGGCCATCCAATTAGACCTGCTACAAACACAGGCTCTGAAGTCACACAGATCTGGGTTCCAGTCCCAGGTCTGCCACTCCTTAGCTGTCAAGGTACTCACATTCCCTAAGCTTCAATTTCCTTATTTGGAAAACGGGGATGATTATAGAGCCTAACTCACAGTACTGTCATATGGATTAAGTAAGTTAATACATGCTGCACACAGAACGGGCTCAATAAACGGCAGTCTTTAATTATTAGAATAATGACACTACCCTCTGGGTGCTGAGGAGGTACAAGTGGGGTCCTACCCCAGAGTAAGGGTAAGAGGGGACCAGATGGGTACTCACAGCCGTGGAAACAGAGTTACAGTCAAATCGAGATGAGCTATTGTGGGGGGTGAGCGTTGGATCTGGGTCCACCTGATGGGAGAGAAGAAAGTCTTTCACCCAGGGAGGCAGGAGGGTAGACATTCCCAGCTCTGCCTTAGCTTGAAGGATGGCCTCGGGTTAGCACTGGCCTCTTGGGACATCAGTTTCTCTATGTGAACAAAGGGGAGGGAGAAGTTTGCATAGAAGTCTCAAACTAATGGTCCACACACCAAAGATGGCCCCATAAATGGACTTTATTTGGGTAACACACTCAGGAACGTTCACTGAAAAAATTTGAGTTTCCAGAAAAATCTAACCTTGGACCAAATTCCCTACCGGACCCGCAACGTGGCAGTTGCTGCCCTTGGGCCTGCATTCTCCAATAAGAGGTTCTCAACTAGAGGTGATTATACCCTCCAGGGACTATCTGGCAATGTCTGGAGACATTCTTAGTGTCACAACTCGGTGTTGGGGGGATGGATATGTTATTGGCATCTAGTGAGTAGAGGTCAGGGATGCTGCTAAATATCCTACAATGAACAGGAAAGTCCCACAACAAAGAATTTATCCAGTTCAAAATGTCAACAGTGCTGGGGTTAAAAAACCTTGCCTTAGGACATAGTCCCCCCCAGCCAACATGAGTTTATACACTTGGTACCAGTTGATACTTAAAGACCCTTTCTGCTCTGAGTGCTGGGAGACTGGGAACTGTAGCCCTCTTGCCCCACCCCTTGGGAACCCCATTCCGTGAGTTTCTCAAGTGGGTCTCTGCCCCAGGGTGAATCCCTCATCTTCCTATAGGGACTAAACATAGTAGCAGTGGTGGGGAGGGTCACTTACGTGGCTCTGGTTTCTAGGTGCCCTCTGGTGACTAAGGATGTCATGGGCAGCGCTGAGCATCACCACATAAGAGAAGTTGTTGCAGAGGCCAAGGAGCCTAGAGTGAGTAGGACAGATTTCCCCCCACCCAGTTTTATTGAGATGTAATTGACATCAAAGAATAGGTCATGACCTCCTTTCAGCACTACAATCTATCCACAGTCCTAGCACCAAACCTCCTACTTTCCTGTGCCTCTTTTTTTCTCTGTCACCAGACCCCATCTCCATTCAGTGCTAGGGTTAGAAATACAGGTTTTGGGATGACAGACTTGGGTTCATATCTAATTTCTGAGACCTCTCCCAGGAAAAGAAGGAAGTCATCTGAGCTCCCACCATGATTCAGTTCCTGGGACATTTCTTATCCACTGATCCACTGTCTCTGATTGTGGTACAGTAGAAAGACCTTGGGGGCTTGAAACCCAAAGGGCTATGTCCAAGTCCTAAGTCTGCCACTTCCTACTTGAGTGGCCTCAGTCTACTCACGTGTAAAATGGGAATATAAATTTCTCTCCTGACTACCTCATAGAGTGCTGTAGGGATCAAAACAAGATAATACCCCTTATGATCCATGAAGGACCTTGTTCACTTACTCTCATCTCCCAGAGCTGCCCTCAGTGATGAGAAGGGAACTGGGCCCAGCACCAGGATTTCATGGGTCCTCTTCACAAGTCTATGAAGTAGTACTGCTGCTCTTCCCATTTTACTGCTGAGAAACTGAGGCTCAGACAGGGAGCCTCACTTCCAACCCAGTATGCTACCCAAATCCTTGATGTTTTACGTTAGTGCTAGAAGTATTTCCCAAGGGTCAGTATTTGAATGATTTTAGGAGGTAGATGGATGACTTAAAAGGTAGTGATGCATTTATTTAAATGTGCATTAGGAAAATAATGGCTTTCCATCCGGAGTAGTGATTGAAAGTTTTCTTTTTAAAAATGTGTGTATTCAAAAATATAAAGGCTAAGTTGGTGGGAGTAAAAACATGAAGTAACCCTACAGGTGAAATGAGAATCCAGCCAAAAGGTGAAGGTGGTAAGTGAATGAATGAAATTTGGGGATTTTACACGCAGCTTCAGGGCAGACAAGTGGTTCTGTAAATACTTTGTGGATTCAGCTCCCTTTTCAAAGCTCAGCTCTTTCTTCCCTCCTTCCTCTTGTCGCTTCCCTCTTCCCACCCCACTTTTACTTCTGCTGAATTCTTCAAGCCACTCACCAGAAGCCCACCGCGTTCTTCCAATGGGCGTCCCGCCGGTCCAGCAGAGGGGGCCGAGGTGCCGGGTCGGTCTCCTCCCCTGGAAGGGAGAGAAGAGGGCATGACCTCCACCCCACTCTCAGGTGCGCAGTGGCCCTACAGGTGTTCTCCCGGAGCCTACCAGCTCCCGAGCCTGTCAGGTGGGATGCGGGGACATCAGTAGTCAATCCCGCGAGGGTGGGTCGGAATACTCACCCTCCGAATCCGAAAGGCGCCGCCGCGAGCCCGCACAGCCTCCCATGGCAGCAAGTTTAGATCTCCCGAGGGATCCAAAGTCAGTGAGAGTTCCGAGTTGGCTCCGATGGGGCTGATGAGGGTCTGCGAAAGGTGAGAAGGATCAACGCCCCATTGCCGGTCCTAGCTCCGGCTTCTGCGCTGCACTCGCGCACGCCAAGCCACCACCACCCTAACCCCGGGCTCCATCTCGCGCCCTCTCAAGTCCCAACAAGCCCCACCCGTCGGACTCTGCCCCCGCTCCCTCTAGAGCAGGGGGCCCTGCAGCCTGTACCTTTAAGAGCAACTCACCATTCCGCACACTGGAATGACGAGTCACGTGACTGTACCGGTGGGTCCCTCATCACGTGTTAGGAAGGTTCTCACCACTTCCGGGTCTTCGCTCTGTTTTCCCTTTAGGCATTCCCAGCTTCGAGGCGTGGGATAGGGAGAGGCCGGGAGAACCCTGAAACTCCTGGATTAAAACTGGGGTGGGTGGGATCAGCAAAAAGTGCCATGACGTTAGTTAGCGGCGTCCAAGGCCGAGACCGTATTGTGCCAGCACTAATCATGGCTGTGAGAGTCTTTAGCTCCTCTTGCAACTTACGATTGCCAGAAACAAATATGGCCACCTGGTTGCTCATTTCAGACCGGGCTGTTTCTTGACTGGGAACAAAGACGGCCAGCTTGAGGTCGTTCTTATTTCCATCTGTTGCCTTTAGATTGTTTTAGAAACTGAAAATAAAGGTAACACCCATCTAAAAAGATTTCATCACGACATTGTAAAATTATTATAAATCAGTAAAAAAAGTTAAAAATTGTAAAATTATTATAAATCAATAAAAATTGTTTCAAAAATAAATAAAATAAAAAGATTTCATCAATTACCTTTTGGCACTATCTGAGGTGGTTAGGAGATCCCCTTTCCCAAATTATCTTAGAACCAAAGTAGTCCATTCCTGGTTTTACATGTGAGAAAACAATAACAAGAAGACACTGATGATCATACAACGTTAGCTCTAAAGGTGACCTTAGAGACCCTTTCAGCATTAAGAAATACAGCACCAGAGGCTGGGTTGCTGGCTGAGCTGGCTGCTGCAGGATTCCTGCTTGCATCAAGGATGCTTAGACCAGGTGATTCTAAAAGCCCAGGATTCTGATTCTGTGTTCTCATCTAGTTCCTCTAATTGGACACTTGGAAAGTGGGGCTCAGGGAGGGGACCAGGAGAGGAGGTGTAGATCAAGGTCACTTCACATAGTCCCAAATAAGGAACAGTTATTCTCTTACCTTTCTCTACGTGGTAAAGCAGCATCCTGAATTTTCTTCATCACGTTCTTTGCCTGCTAATCTCTCCTGTGGGGTTCCATCAGTTGGTGCCCACCTTTCCCAGGTCCTTCTCACCACCAGTCCCTCAGACTGCTGTTTGAAATGTACCCCCCTTTTGTCTGTTTCCAGGGTCACTCAACCAATGAAAAATGGGATCCTATTACCCATGCAGGGCTCTAGAAATTCAGCAACATGTCATACATGGCCTCCACCTTCAAGGAACTCAAGGAAGGTGGGAGGCAGACATGAATAACCACAATACAAAGCTTAGCCAAGTTTTGTTTCACAAGAATGACTACAGATGAGGGAATGCACGTTGGAACCACCAATCCAGCCCCTTCTTCCTCTTGGGGAAGCATTAATGACCCTGAAACGAGAAGCCAGAGCTCTTACCAGCCCCCTCCTCACTCCTACTCCTTGTCGCCAGGCAAAACAGGAACCACAAACCCCAGCTTCCTCTCACAGAGAGGCTGTGGCTTTAGGGGGAGACGGAAATGGCTGAGGTGTAAATATAAGACCTGAGTCACTTAAGCTGCAGTTCCCACATTCTCCTCCCCCCTCCCCAATTCTGAGGTCTCCTGCTCCCACTTTTTTCTTTCAGTCCTGCTCCCTTGTCCTTTAGCTCCAAATATGCACCTGAGCCCCCTATGTGACATACACTCATTTTCCAGCCTGGGCTGGAAGCAGCTGTGGGCATTGCAGAAGGTGGGCAGGGCTTGGGGTGGGGATGTGTCAGGGAGAGTCAGGGGAAGAGGAAGTGTCTTGGGTCCTGGGGAAGACTGACTTGTCTTGGTGGGTGGAGACGGTCATTGTCAGTTTTCTGGACACATAGACAGAGACAGACAGGATGGAGTTCCTCCGACTACATCTCCCTGGGCTGCATCAGGCCTTGAGGGGGGCACTGGTGAGCGGGGCAAATGAATGCCAAAGACTTCCACCCTGCTCCCTGGGGTCCCACCTTCCTCTCTTTCTTTGAGCCTCTCCTCAGATTCAAGATTCCTTCACCAGGATTGGGCAGTCTCCTAGCCCAGTCTTCTCTGGATTCCAATTCCCCCATCACCACAGGCACACCCACATAACCCGAATCTAGGCCCTTTACTACTCCTGCAGAACGCGTCCTCCTTCTCCTCCTAGATCCTAGAACCCTTCCTCCTTACCCTGAGTTCCTCTGACCCAGGGCCCCCAGGGAGAGGGCTGGGCCTCCCCTTAATGCCTTTAATCCCTTCCCCCTTTTCTTCTAGGATTCTTTAAGCACCTTTGTCTCCTACCTTATAGGAGATGAAGTCCCCACTGCAGAAAGGAGGGAGGCGTGGGCAGCTGAGGAACTGGGGGAAGTAGCTGCAGAAAAATCAGGGAGGACAGTGGAAGAGGAAGCCCAGAAAGCCCTGGGGGGCCTTGGAGGCAGCCAAAGCAAGGGGGTTGGAGGGCTGAGAGGTCCTGGAGAGGCTGGAAGGCACCCAGAGGAAAGCTCAGCTGCAGAACAGACCTGGGGTGGGGGAGAAGGCAGCTCCCACGGGTCTCAAGCAGATAGGCAGGACACTGGGGCCTGGGAAACAGCTAAGGCCACCAGATTCCAGGATTCAAGTGTCCCCTTGGAGACCAGAAAGAAGTCTGAGGCAGGGTCTGAGTCTGGTGGAGACAGGAGGAGCCAAGCCCAGGAGAGTCGGGAGCTCGATGAGCAGGAAGTGAACAGAGAAGAGACACTGAGAACCTGGGAACAGGAGGAGGAGGAGGAGGAAGAGGTCAGGGCAACAGAGCCAGGGGTAGCTGGAGGGGAGGAGTCAGAGTGGACCTGGCAAAAGGAGCCTGAGGGGAAGGCCAGTGCTGATGGACTAAAGGTAGCAAGGGACAGCCAGGAGGCAGAGCAGGTGGTCAAGGAGGCAGCTACAAAGGAGATCCAGGGGCCTGGGGCTAAAGGGCCTGGGAGGGAGGAAGAGGTGGTGGTAGTGGTAAGGCATGGCCAAAGCACAAGGACACAGAGGACACAGGGGACACAGGAGCCAGAGGCAGAATCTGAGCACGGGGAACCCTCAGGCAGAGAGGAGGCAGGGACAAGCTCAGGCATGGAGGAGGCTGCCCTCCCAGGAGTCAAGGAAACAGAATATGGGACAGTCCCAGGAGAAAGGATCCCAGAGGATACTGGGAGAGTCTGGGCCCTAGAGGAGACCTCCAAGGGAGACCAGGAGGAGGTGGATGAGAATAAGGAGTTTGAGGTGAGCCTGTTCCCCAATCAGACTCAGGCCCTGGGAATTGAGGGAGTGGAAGAAGTGGCCAGGGACCAGGCAGAAGGGAGGATGGCTGAGGAAAACCAGGGGTCAGAGAAGGAGGTAGGGGAGGGCTTGGAGGGCCAGGCAGACTGGGCTGAGAAAGAACCCGTGGGGAGGCAAGACTCAGAGATCAGGGTGGCTCAAGCCAGTCTCAAGGAGGCGGTACAGGCAGAGGAGGCCGGGGAGCAGGAGAGTTGCTGGGCCGCCGAGGCTGGGCTGCCCCAGGGCAAAGTGGCAGACCGACCTGAACATGATGCTGACTTGGAGGCAACCCCAGAGGCCAGGGCCGAGAAAGTGTTCAGTAAGGAGAGGGGTGAGGAAGAGGCTCAGACAGGTGGGGAAGCATTGGAGGTGGAATGTTGTGGTCTTGAGCACAAAGTCACTGAAGGCAAAGAACCTGAGCTGATGGAAGCCCCCAAGGCCCCAACAGAGCAACCTGAAGAAGGGCAAGCGGGTAAGGAAGTGTTCTGGAGGGTTCCAGTCCTGAGCGAAGAGGAGACGGAGAGGAGCCTGGAGGAATATCCCAGGAACATGGGTCATGAAAAGCCTAATAGCTCTGTGGCCGAAGCCTGGGAACACAGGAGAAGAAGGGGCGTGGAGGGAGGAAATACCCAGGAGGAAAAAGCAGGTGCTGATGTGGGGAAGGAGGAGGCTACAGGAGGCCAGGCAGTGGTGGCTGAGGCTGAAGGAGGCCGAGAGCCTGCACAACCAGAGATCCCAGAGACAAGTGGGGAGTGGATCAAAGCAAAGGAAGCGGGACGTGGAGCAGAGGAGGAGGAGGCCCCTGGCACTGAGAACCAGGAGCTGAGTGGAGGGCATAGGGCGGAAGCAGGGACTGGCCAGTCACTGGGAGAGTCAGATGCCAGAGAAACCAAGGAGGAGGAGGTGGAGGCCACTGTGCCCTGCGGGGCAGACAGAACATCCAGCAGAGGCTGGAGGCCGGAGGTGGAGGCTCTGAGCCTCCAGGATGGCGAGGACATGCAGGCAAATTCTTTGGCTGCCGAGATAGTGGAAGATAAGGCAGCTCTGGGTGGAAGGGCTGCTGGGGAAGGTCCTGAAAGAGAGGCAGGGGAAGCATTCAAGAGAGGCTGGGATTCAGAAGAGAGAGAGGAAGCTGGTGGAAGTGAGGAGATGGCGGAGGCTGCAGAGGAAGGGAATAGAGGTGGGCAGGAGTCTGGCCTGGAGGGCTTAGCAGAGGCTTTTGAGGCCATGGAGGGTGAGCAGGGGGGAGAGCAGGCAGAGGTTAGGGATTCTGCAGTGGCGGAAGGAAGCTGTGGGATGGATGGCTTTACCTCGGGCTCCCAGGCGGTAGGGGCAGAGGGCCTCCCAGGAGAGCAGACTCTGTTGGAAAAAGAGTCTGAGGGATGGGAGGCAGGGGAGCAGGGGCAAGACAGTGAGGGGCAACGTGGGGACCAGCACCCCGAGGGACAGGCCCAAAGGCCCCTTGATGTGGAGGATGACGAGGTGGCTGGAGACCAAAAGGCGGAGGCTGAGGACATTGATCCACGAGGCCTGGAGGATGTCCAAGGCCAGGAAGACCAGTCAACAAAGCAGGACCCTGCAGAGGCCAAGCCTGGACCATGTGGGGAGGCCTCAGGGAGAGTTGGAGAGGATGTTCACAGCAGTTGGAGTGAGGTGAGGGCTCCAGGTAGGATTCAGGCCCGGCCAGAGCAGAATCTCGAAACCGGCCCCACAGTACCCTGTGCCCTCTTCCCTGTAGGCCCTGCTGCCTGGGTCTCGCCTAGATGTCTCTGTCCCGAGGAGCCGTGTACTCCTCTCCCGCAGCTCCTCACAGCGCCGCTCCAGGCCCTCTTTGCGACGGACCCCCGGCCCTGAGCACCTGGAGGAGCCTCCCAGCCCTCCATCCAAGGAAGAGCTGTCAGCCCCTGAGCAGAGACTTCTCCAGCCGGAGGGCCTCCAAGAGCCAAGCCCCCCAAGGTCTGAAGGGACCCCATTGCCAGCCAGGAGAATGCCTCTGGGACAAGGGTAAGCACAAGGTAGGGTGACTGGGTGGGAATGAGGAGAAGGCTGGTAGCACCTGGAGACCAGCTCCCATGGCCTTTCTTCCACCTGCAGGTTTGGCCTCGCACACCCTGGCATGATGCAGGAACTGCGAGCCAGGCTGAGCCAGCCAAAGCCCTAGTGACCGGGAGCCTGGCCCCAAGCAAGACTCGGAAGGTTGGGTTGAACCCTGCTCAGCCTGACTCCCTCTGCCACTTTGGATGCATCCTTTCCACCCTCTGGGCCTTAGTTTCTCGGCGTGTCATTCACGGAGCAGACAGAACCCAATGTCTGCGAGAACCATGAACTTAAGGAGTCTGACCCTCCAGTGTGGCTGATGGACCACTGTCCCTCGGGATCCCCTCTTTCCAATGGCCTGTCTTGACTACCTCCTCAACCTGTCTCAGCTGCCTGGAGGACTGAGATGGGACAGAAACAATTCTCCCCACAGCCTTCCCTCTCTGACTGCCCCTACTCCCCCCACCAATCCCTGCTCCCCAGTGCCACCCCCGCCTCTGGGGTGGAAGGCAGCCTAGAGAAAAGGGTCAGGGGGGCCTGTGGAGCTTCATTTGCAATCAAAAGTTGATGGGAAGCAGAACCAGCTGCCCTGAGCTTCCAAAATGGGAGCTCAGCCTCAGAATTCTGCTGGTTACTATGGCAACCAGCAGCTGAACAAGCCAGAGTGGAGGAAGGTGGACTAGGAACCCCAAAAATGTAGGAGCAGAGAGGAGACCAGGGTGGCAGGAAGCTGCAGACTCCTTTTGGGTGTCAGGCACCCCTTCTCTGAAAAGAAGTGGAGGCAGAGAGAGGATGGGAGTGCTTTATTAGGCACCCAGCATGGTGGCCTAGTCTGAGGATGACTAGCAAGTCCTGGAAACAATAAATAAACCATCATTTCCCTAAACAATAAATAAATATCCAAGAAATAAATATCTGGTGAGAACTCGAGGGGCCTTAAGTTATTGGGTAGGGTCTGGGGTGGGAGATCAGTGGAGTCCTGCCTTGTCTCAGACAAATAAGCTGGAGGCTGTCCCGTGGCCCCAGACTGGTCCTCAAGTCCTGATGTGTGCAGGGAAGGGACTGAGATGTCACTCCATCAGGGATGGGAGCTAGGTGTTGGAAACCCCAAGGCCTGGGCTGGGTTCCCAGCCTTGGAAAGCAGCAGCAAGTCCCGCACGGCCCGAGACAAGACAAGTTCCAAGGAGTGTAGCAACTGGTAGGTGTAGAGGAGCTGGGGCCAGGATACCTGAGCTGACACCTGTGAGGGGCCACCCACAGCCCCTGGGAGCAGCCCCTTCTCCTCCTCTGTCGCCTCCTCCTCCGGGAGGTCGACTCCTGAAGCCAGCACCTGTGAGGAGAGAGAGGCCCATGAGTCAGAGAATGGCCTTGTTTTTTTTATGTGCCCAGGGGTATTAATGACATCAGAGATCACAGGGTCATGATTTCCCTGGACAACTCCTACTTCACATCTTTCATTATGTCATCGTTTCATGGGAACTGCCTGATTTTGTGTGTGTGTGTGTGTGTGTGTGTGTGTGTTTCAAGAAAATGGAAGTCACAGAGCAAGATGGTGCACATGGTGCTGGCTTTTACTCATCCAGGACTGCCCTGGAGATTTGGGGTTCCGGGAGTTCCTCTCTTAAGGGTCGTCTTAGGATCAGAAATGGGTCCCAGGGTGATATAATTGATACAGTTAGTTTTTATGCTGCTTTCATTTTCTATTCTTTTATTAGGGGTAAAATTACTGTTTCCTTTGAAATATTCAAGAAGATCTGGTGATGTCAGAGGATGAAGGAGAAGGGAACCTACTTGCTGTAGGGCCTGCTAATGACAGATGCTGTCCTGGGTGCTTCAAACTGCTCTCTCATTTAAGACCAAGACCCCAAGAGAAGACAGAGATTCAGGGGGCAGAGCTTGTACTTGGTGCTAAACACACAGACAGACAGACAGACAGATAGACAGACACACACACACACACACACACACACGGGAATCTCCCTCCAGACTTACCCTACCTCTGGGCAGGGGTTATTTCAAAAGGAAGCCAGTGAGTCTCAGTTTTGTGTGTTGGCCTCCAGGGGTCAAGGAGAGTGGGTGGGCACTCTACCTGGAAGCGGAGATGCTGCTGCAAATCCCGGAGATCCAGCCTTATGGCCCACAGGTGCATCCTCTCTGAGCTGGTCCAGACCCCCTGGCTCCCCAGTACTCCTAGCATGGCGTGGAAGGGGCGAAATGTCATGTAAAGAAAGTAGAGTCGTTCTGAGTCCTGTGGAAGGGGAGGGAAGGTATCAGGAAAGGCCCGCAGGCCAAGGATGACCCACTTCAAACCCAACCTCATCTCTTTTTGGGTTCCATTCTCAGCCCAAACTCCAATCCCCATTCCATCTCCATTCTAGTTTCATCCTTAACCCCATCTCCATCCCCACTCTCTTCCTATGCTCATCATTCCCATCTCCACTGTCTCTGATCTCTATCCTATCTCCTTTTCCAACCTCATTTCAGTCCCGTGCCCAAACTCATCTCTACCCAAAACCCCATCTCCATCCTCCTATCTCTCTCTATCCAGAATCCCATTCCATTCTCTTCTCTATTACCCCATCCCATTCCCATATCCTCACTTGTTTTCTTCCTGTCTCCAATTCCTTTCCCACCCTTATTCCCATTCCTAATCCAGATTCCATCCCTATTCCATGTGTCCAGCCTCACTGTCACCATCTCTCCATCCCATCTCCAACTCCATCCCAACCCCACCCCATCTCCATCCTCACCAGAAATCCCCATCCATTCTCTCTCCCCCATTTCATTTTTACTCTCATCCCCAACCTCTTCCCACACCTAACCTCTCTCTTCATTCTCATTCCTTTTAAAATTCTTTTTGTTTTCTTGGGAAGAGGGTGGAAGTAATTAGATTTATTTATTTAAAAAAATGCTTTTTACCCATTCTCACTCCCAATGCCAACTCCATCCCACCTCTATACTAATCTCTATCCCAAATCCCCTTCTATTCCCACCTCTTTCCTTGCCCAGCTTCACTCTTACCCTCTTCTTAACTCCATTTGTTTATTTCAGCCTCATCTTTATATTCAATGACATACCCAGACTCCTTCAGATTATATCCCTCAGTTTATCCCCAAACCTGTTTTCAATTCAATCCCCAACTTTATTCCATTCACCCAGCCCAGCCTTATTGCCAGTTTGCCTGTCCCACCCCACTTGTCCCCTACTCACAGAGAGGCCACGCCAGGCCTGGAAGGTCAGGGAAACGTTGGGGAGCTGCTCTCCCAGGGGCAGAAGGTCCAGGTTCACTCCTGGCAGGTGAGATTCAGCCTATGGGGCAAAGTCTGTTAGTGGGGGCCCGAGGGGACTGGAGATTTTCCCACCCCCAGAGCCAGTTGCATTAGGGGGACTCACAAAATGATGGGCTTGGACTCGAACCTCGGAGAGCAGCTTCCTGGCGAGATGTAGGCTGACCTTGAACTCCCTCTGCAACTCCTGCAGGCTCAGGGGGGACCTCCCTGGGGGCCTCGGGAATCCCCAGACACCGGCTAGAGCCAGGAGCAAGGAGAGCAGCAAAAGGCTGAGTCCTGGAGAGATGGGGAGGGGATGCGCAAGATGAGGGGAGAACTTGAGAACTCGGGAGAAGGAAGAGAACGTGCCTTTTCTGAGCCTGTGCTACAGGCAGGCTCTGTGCGTCATCACATTGACCCCTCAGAACCATTAACAATAGTATATGGAAGCCGTTGAGAACATCATATGGCATCTCTGTACGAGAGGAGAGTGCCCCTTCCCCCGGCAGACACAGCCTTCCACAGAGTGCTCTTCTTTGCAAGCAGATCTTAGGCTGCATCTTGATCCCCACTAACTGCCTTGGCCAAGTGTCTTTTTCAATGAACAAACTGCACAACAGTGTAAGGCAGTCTGGGTACTGTTATTCTCCCCCTCTTGCAGATGGAGAAAGTGAGGCTCAGCGAGGTTGGCTTGCCCAAGGTCACATAGCCAGAGGGTGAGGGGACCAGGACTGGATTCCAGATCTGCCCAAATGTAGAGCCTCTGTGCTCCCTGAAGGGAACTCAGAGGAGGCAAGCACCTCCCCTGGAGTGGGCACAGGCTGTTCTGCCAAGGATTCCTCCGGCTTAGCCAGGTGGCTCTGATGGCCTGAACCAGGTAACACTGAAAGCTCTGTCCCAGGAAGTCAGAAGGAGAGATTGGTCCAGGCTCCCCCATGGCAGGGGGGTTATTCTGCAGTGTGGGAGGAATGGAGGGGTGCCAGGAGAGAGAGGAAGGCCTGGAATGGGAGGCAGAATCTCTGTTTCTCATTTGGGCTCTTCCCTTGAGCAAGTCATCTCTTATCTCTGTGCCTCAGGCTCCCATCTGTAAAATGGGGGAATCAGACTGGCTGATTTCTGTAAGTGCTTCCTGCCCTGTGTTTCCTGGAAAGAAGGAAGAGGGGCCATGGGGCTGGAGCTCTGGAAAGAGGGCAGTGTTCAGCAGTTTCTCCTTCAAGGAGAGGAAATCTAGCAATCACTGGAGTTACACAATTCCCTTCGAAACACAAACCAAAACTGGCCGCTAAGTTTAAGTCTATTCCTGCTTATCTTTCTCTCCATGCCCCTCTCCTATCCATTCTTTTCTTTTCTTTTTCTTTTTTTTTTGGCAGGGGGAGGTAATTAGGCTTATTTAGTTTTAAAGGAGGTACCAGGGATTGAACTGTGACCTCATGCATGCTAAGCATGCGTCCTACTACTTGAGCTATACCCTCCCCCACCTCCTATCCATTCTTGATCTCTAACCCCTGGGCTCTAGTCCTCTCAGTAAAGACTAAGGGGAGCATCTGGGTGCTTCCACTACCCTCATGGACCTCCAGGGGGTGGTGGGCCATGCTTGCAATGCTAGCATTCAGGCTCCCTGGCTTGGGAGCCACTGTGGCATCCCAGAGACTTAAAACAGAGTAGGAGGTCTTCCTAGCTCTTTGAGTGGGCTCCCCCAGGCCCCGGGGGATAGTGCCCATCCAGAACTGAGCTGTGCCATTTCCTACTGACCCCTTGCTTCCTGCCTGAGCTCTGGAGCCCCCAGACCCTTCCCTTGACTTCTCCTTCCCCTTGGCAGCCAATGCTGGGTCCTTGGCCCTGGCCTTTGAAGGTTCTGTCCCCATCCTTCAGCCCTTGGCCCCTACTCTGATTCTACCAATCTGCTCCTTTGCTTATAGCTCTAGTTCCAGCCTCTGAGTCTTTCAGTCACCAACTGTAGATTGGACCTCCTTCCAAGCTTCAAACTCCAGACCCTTGACCCAGTTGGGCTTCTTGGTCCCAGCCCCCAGCTCATGCCGACTCCCCCTGCTGTTCTTCCTCCAGCTGGCCCCAGTTATCAGCCAGGCTGAATGGCCCCTGCCATCCTCTCCAACTAAACTCTTCCATTTATCTGCCTAGTCCAGGTCCTGGTCAAACCGTCTGCCCCGCTCTCCCCATTCATGCCACTCACAGCTTTCCAGCCTCAGACCAGCCCTTACCAAACCATCACCCTACTACCCCTGTCCTCCTATTTATGCCAGGCAACCTGTCCCATCCTCTGCCCAGCCCTGGCCTAACTACTCCTCCTCTGCCCCAGCCCCTCTCCCCCATGTATGCCTGCCTCAGTCCCATCCTCCTACAGTCAGCTGTATCCCATATTCTTAGTCTAGGCCAAGCAGTTGCCTCTCAGCCCTAGCCCCCATCCACACCAGTCAAACCCACCCCCCCACCGCCCAGTCTCAACCAAACCCCCCACCCCTCTGTCCCCAGCCCTGGCCTCAAACTCACGCCAGCCAAGGTCTCCTGCCATCTGGCCCATGACGGGGCCCAGCCTCTTTGGCCAGCCATCTCCCGGGCAGGGGGAGTCTTATACTGGGGGCTGCGCCCAGTTTCACTTTCCGTCCTGCTTGTACTTTCAGCTTTGTATTCACTCAGTCTTCCCTCCTCACCACCCCTTGCTAAAATGGGGAAATGTAATTTCCCTTCCCAGAGTGGGTGGGAGTTGCGGTGGGGGTGGCGGGAAGCTGGGGCTTCAGTCAATCCCAGCTCCCGACTCCCTCTGCCCTCCCAGGTCCAGCCCTCCCTTCACTTCCCTGCTCTTGGGTGAGCCACCCTGCTCTGCTTGCTAGTAGATCCCAGAGACTCAACCCCCCTTCTGTTTCTCTGCTTTGTCATGATCATCCCGGTGCCATCACCAGCCCACTGTCCTTCCAAAGATGGATGGCCAGGTAAGGGGATTGCCCATCAGAGGGGACTTGGGGTTTTGAGTCATCCTTACTCTCTTCTGGTTTACCAGATCGCTGAGGGAGGGAGTGCCAGGGAAGTTGGGGTTTCGTGGGTAGCTGGAAGAGGGCTTTATGTGAGGTGGTGGGGGTCTCAGTCTGGGCAGAGTCAGGGTTCAGTCTATGGCCGCGGTCAGGGCTGAGTGAGAACGGATTCACTCAGGGTCAAGTTTAGTCTTCCGCCAGAGTCAAATCTAGGATTAGAGCTCAGTCCAGATGTGGCACAGACCTCAGTCTGTGGCCAAGGTTCTGACTGAGCCTGTGACTCAGGTCAGGGCTCAGGCTTGGGCTGGGATAAGAGCTCAGTTGATGGCCAAGGTCAGGGCTCAGCCTGTGACCAGGTTGGGGTTCTGTGAGGTCAGAGTCAGAGTTTAGCCAGGTTCCAGAATAGTCCTGGTGTTTCTGCTCTGTAGACGGCTATCAGGGCTGGTTACAGATCTCCCTTCCAGCACAACCCCGCCTCCAGCCCCACCCTGGATTTCCCATCTTCAGGGAGAAGATGGGGGTTTCTTGGTCTTCCCCCAAGCCCACTGCTGCCACTTTCCTTTTAGGACCCGTGGGGTTTCCCTGCTGGGTCCCTGCTATGAGACAGAAACCAAGGGGCTTCCCCTTCCTATACCCTGCCTCCTCAGCCGTGCCTGGGTATGGCCATCAAGGACCAACAGCCAGGGAAGTACCAGCAGCAGCCGGGGAGCAATCTCAGAGGGCTGCTGGAGGAGAAGGAAAAGGAAGATATGCTGGCTACTGTCTAGCCTGGGTCAGATTCCTTTGCAGTGCCCCCGGGTGGTAGTAGTCCATTTCCCCACCTCCTATACAACTGGAGCTCCCCACTGTGAGGTCTTATCCATCCTGACACTGACAGTGAGGCCAGACAGAGGCCCTCGCTGTTTTTTCTCACATCCTTAAGTCCTGCCATTATCCTGGACGTGTGGCCACCCCACTCACCACCCACCCCCGACCACAGCCACTCCTGCCTCTTTGTCATCATCCAGAACTGCTGTACCTTTCAAACCTTGAACCTCATCTCACACTCTCTAACCACAACCTCCTGGCCCTCCCAACCTTCTCAGGGCTCCCTGAGACCTCCCGGCCCTTGCTGTTTCTCTGCCTATCTCAGTGTGTCTGCAGCTGACTCCTCCAGCCTCACCCCTCACTCCCGCCCTCTTCCTGCTCCAGCAACTAAAGCTTCATGAACCACCTTATGCTTTCTTTGCACAAACTGATCTCTTTGCCTAGAAAACCTTCACTGCCTTCTCCAGAGTTCCCACACCTCAACCTTCTCTGTACCAATATCCTTTGGCACAGGCTTTCTTTCCTGAATGGCTCCCCTTTTCCTGCCATAAATCTTGTCTCCAGTGGACGTTTCACATTTCTCTATCTTGCCCACTCTATCCTTGCGCATACCTCTCTAGCCATACTGGCCTCCTTGTTGCTCCTAGAACATGCTAGGCATGCTCCCGCCCCAGGGCCTTTGCGCTTGCTGTTTCTTCTGCCTAGAACACTCTTCTTCCAGATATCTGCACAGCTCACTCTCTCCTTACTTCTCTGCTCAAATGTCACATTCACAAGTGGGATCTTCACTGACCACCCTAAAAAAATGCAACCCTGCCCTTGGCACTCTCTATTCCTTTCCCTACATTATTTTTCTATGTTTTTAGATTTTGAACATTTTCTATTTTAGATATCTAACATTTTTAGATCTCGAACTTAGATCTCAAACATTTTCTCACTTATTTTTTTGTCTGCCTTCATGCTCTAGAATACGGGTTCCACGAGGATGGGAATTTTGGCCTGTTCTGTGCATGGATATACCCCCAGTAGCTAACAATAGCAGGCTGTCAATAAATCATCTGTCTTCTGCCACAAGTGCCTAATCCAGGTTCTGCTCATGACTGGTGAGCAGTAAGTTGCCCAGTTGGAGGAACAGGTCTGGGACCAGCCTGAGCCCTACGGTCTCACGGCCAGCCTTCTCCCACTATGGCTAAGGCTCCAACCCAGGTGCCAAGGGCTGTAAGGAGGCATCTGGGCTGCTGGACATGGCCCTGGGCTGATGATATTAGCAGATCCCTGGCAAAAAGCCAGAGGGCAGGTGAAGGAAGCACCAGCTTCTGTCTATATCCTTGGAGGATGGGCCTGGGCTGGCCTCTGCCCACCTGGGCCTCGGTTTCCACAAGTACATCTTATCTGGTGGTCTGAGGCTTGGGCTGGGGCCAGTAGGAAATGGAAGGGATGTGGTGAGGAGTGAGAAATGCTGGAAAGGAAGACAGGAACCATGGGCCATAGACTCCAGTGTGCACCTTCTGGTGACCTCAGGTGAGTCAGTAGCCTGCTCTGGACCTCAGTTTCCTCATTGAAAAGTGGTAACAATTTTCAAATCCTGCCT